ATTTCTAGTAATTTAAAAATATATTTTATAATTTTTTAATTGAAAAGAAAAAAGTTATTTTTGGCTTTCCTGGCAAGTGGTGACGCCTAGGAGCAGCCTCCCTTCCAACAGTCCCCTCTGTTCCACGTGCAGGGCAAGTCTGGGAGCATTTCTTTTGCAGGACTGTCCACGCCGCTGTTCCTCTCTGCCCGTGCTGGCCCATCCTGTGAGAATAGCTTCGGAACAGCCCCTCCCCTCAATTCACCAGAGGAACCTGTTTTTTTCAGCACAGCCTCTTGTTTAAGTTAAAATTCATAATGCAGAAGATAAATTATAGCACAAAAGCTCAAACATCTCCACTTCTGACATTTGTGCTTCTCATTAGTTTCTGCTCAGTGTTACATTCCATCTCCTCTGTTTCACTTGGAAAAAAAAATACATAAATGTAAATACATTTATATACATCCAGATTTCCATTTGAGTATTCAGAAGCAGATGTATAGTTTCAGTGTCTGCCCTGAGCGTGTGACCGGTCCTCAAATGCCACGTTTTATACCCCATTATATTGTATTTTATTCCTACAGCTCTGTAAAAGCTGGTCTGCTCAAAGAAGGCCCAATTAAAAACAAAATCTTCAAAGTAATGAGCATTTTATCTTCAAATATCAGTTCCGTCACAGTTGTAAGAGTGATCACCACCACCATTGAGCCCGCTACATCCAAGCACTGTGTGAGACGCCTGGCGGATGCTGTCTCCTCCTTTTCAGCCGGGCAGACCTGGGCTCCAGGAGGGACAGTGCCCTGCTGAGGGCCCAGTGCAAGGACACGGCAGAGCTGGGATTTCATCCTGAGTCTCCCACTCTGGAGCTCACCCGCTTTCCCCTCTGCATCCCAGGCTGTCGTCATGCCTTAATTTCCATACAGAATTTAACAGTCCAAGCAAAATAATTTGAACTAATTGGAACATTAGACTTTGCGTTTTCTTTTAAATGACACGGACATCTCATTTTTTCTCAGCTGACATTTTTACCAAGACAGTTTGCCCCTATGGCTTACCCCTTCCTATGAAAGCCGCCAATGTTCTTTGTATTTCAGGGGTAACCTGCCCACCTCTGATTCCCTCTAACACCCAGGACAGATGCCCTGGTAGCTCCACTGAGGAGGTCATTTGACCCCTCTTCCTCGTGTGTCTGAGGTGAGCCTTGAGGTGCCTGAGACTGATAAGGTGTTTGAGAGCAGACTTTTCTTTCTTGTGTTCTTAGTCTGTTCTGTTGGTGTTGAAATGCCGGTGGTCCTTCTTCCCAGACACCTCTAGTGGAAATTTACCACGTAGCATAAATTACTCATGTTTATTGATAGATTCGTTTCCAGCAAGCGGTCAATTAACTTGTGACACTTCAGTATATAGGTTTTGGAGTGGGTGAAATCATCTGCTTATTAACTGTCACTCTATTGTAGAGGAATCTCCAAGTCCTGCCAGCATTACCTTCTCCGTAGTTCACACGTCACTCCCCTTCTCAGCATCCTTTTGCCCCCTTGTCCAGCTCAAAATCTCATACCCTCCTACCTGGATGACTGGGGCAGTTGGTCTCCCTCCCTGCCTCCAGGCCCCAGGGAACCACAGTTTGACCGTTCACTTCGCTGCCCAGCTTACAGCCCACTAGTGGCTCCCCTCAGCTGGTGAATCCGGCATTCCCGGTCCTTTGTGCCTGCCCCGTGTCGCCTCCTGCCTGCCCACTACATGACCCTGTCTGCTCGGAGCTCCCCCAGAGATTTCCTGCCCCTTGCCCCTGTGAGCTTGTCCATGCTCTGTCCTGACCCTGCTGGTTGTTCTCTGGCTCAGCCTTTACCTGGCTGACTTTCTTCCTCCTCCAAGACGGCTCAGGTGTCACCTCCTCCAAGAAACTATCTCTGATGGCCCTGTCGCGTCCAGGCCAGCCACCTCCTCCTGGGGTCTCCACGGCAGCTCCCTGTGATTACCTTCCTCTTAAGCTTCATCATACTTGACTCTCAGCATTCATTTCTCTGGCCTTTGCACTAGCCTGTGCTCCTGGCAGGGCCAGAACTGAGTAAAACTGCCCTTCTGGCCACCCAGAGAAAGAGAAAAGTAACAGAGAAAAAGAGAGGAATCTCTAGAGTGAGGGAAGAGCGCCTCAGAGCAAAAGCTCTGGAGGAGTGAGTGGAGGCCGTGCTCATGGCTCCAGGAGGGGTGAAGACAGCTACTGCTGTTAACCTCAGCTTATCCAGGAGAGCTCGCCCTTGCCGTCTTCCCACAGAGCAAGAAGAGGCCGTCTGCCGTGGCTGTCCCACCACACCCTAACCCCGTTGTTAACACGGCCCTGTTAACACATTGTAACACCATCCGAGAGGGCCGATTTGTTGAAATTCACATCTGAGTCCTCCAGAGGACGTTCCCTGTCTTCTCTCAGTGGTGGGAATGTTTTCACTGGAAAGGACAAATAAATCAGAGGCTTCGGAGGGATGGTGAGGAATGGGACGCCTCATCAATCCTTCTGCTTCCCTCTTCCTCTGGCCCGAGTGCTAGGGACAGGCAAGGGACACACACAGCCCCCTAGCCCAGCAAAACACAGAAGGTGGAGTGTTTGTGCTCAGGTTGCCCGAATATGCAGCCTTGCAGGACTCTTGGCTTCGGACGGTTCCTTTTAGTTTTCCGTGTGGCTGTCGTGCAGATGAACTACAGGCCTCCCCTCTGTGCGCCCGCAGTTGACACGCTCCACAGGCACCGCCATCCCAAGGAGGGTTCCTTCCAGAGGCTCCTGGCCCGTGCAGACTGCGCCTCACAGATGCCGAGTCGAGGGTCGGCTCTACCGAAGAGTGTGGGGCAGGCTTTAATGGGGCCCCGGGTGTCACGGCGGGGCGTACTCTAGCACCTTGAGGGTTGGTTTGTCAGTGATGCGCGGGAGCAGGTGGTTTAGACAGTCCGTGAGGTCACTAATCACAGTGGGCAGTGAACCCCGAAGCTTCAGGCGTGCAGGCCTCCCTAAGACCTTCTGGTCCTTTCTAGCCCCAGGCCCTGGTGTCTGTGTCTGTCATGGCCAGGTGTCAGCAGTAAGGCCTCTGGGAGGGGGTGTCTCTGATTGTCCTTCACAGCCCTGTGACCTTCATAGAGGGCTCTGCACAGTCACAGCATGGCCAACAAAGGTATCCTCATTGTCCTTCCACACAGTGACGTCACCAAGACCCTTATTCCAAGATGGATCCTGTGAAAATAAAGGAGCACACACGCATACACATACATATGTACACAAATATAGTTGCATCTATTTATATGAGATGCACTTTCTTATCAGAAACAAGTAATTTATATATTAACAGAATGATTAACTTCCAGCTAAGAATTCTAACAATTTAGTACCACTATTTAGAAGCAGACTAAATTTGTCAAGTAACTGAAAGTGAGGTTTTTCAGAAATTATTAGCTAATTTTTTCAATATAGAATTTATAGTCACAATTAGTATATCATAATGATGTTTCCAGGATAAAATACCAGCAGCTCAACTTTTCTGGCCACAAATGTACCACATATATCAGTTTATTTTTGGAGATCTGAAGAATTAGCTACTGTAAATAAAGTCCCCAAGAAGATTTCTCCGGGAAAGAGGTGAACTTACAGTAATATGGGTGATATATTATTAATTAATAACTGTGACCAGCCAGTGCTCAATTAAAAGGACAATGGATGAGCAGGCCGTATAGAAAGGCTGTGCTGAATTTCAATCTTACCGGCACTGAGATCTGCCGAGCGACTAAAGGCTGTCTCTGAGGCCCTTTGCAGGAGGCCTCTGGGCTGGAGACGTCACCGGCTGCTCCTTGGTCTGGGAGCGTTTGCTAAGCACCGACCGCATGTCTTGGGAGCAATCCTCCTTTGGTTGCCAGTAACGGAAACCAGCTTCAAAATAGCTTAAGGAGAAAGAAGACTTTCCTCGAGGGCCACCAGGGTCCCCCAGACCCAAGGACAGCATGAGCCGATGGGTCAGGGAGTGCTTCACATGGGACTCAGACAGGCTCAGGCTGGCCTCTGTGTCTCTGTTGAGAGGAGGGAATCTGATTGGCATGTGTGGTCCAAAGGACAGGCACAGGGAGTGTAGACACGACTGCAGGTGTCATGATACGGTAAGCAGGTTTCTTTGATGGGCCGTGTACAGTGTGGAGGCCACATGAGAAGGGTGCCTAGAAGTGGAGATAAGAAGACCCGCCCAAGGAGGGGCCAGTTGAGCTGAGTCACCCAGGATCCGCCGGTCTTCTCCAGATAGGTCAGTGAGAAAGAACATCCCAGGCGTGGGCCCATGGGAGTGGGCAGTGTTGTGGGCTGGCCCATGGCATGTGAGGACAGTGGAGTGAGAGGCCAGATGAGGAAGCAGTCCCAGAAATGACAAGGTTACTCTGAAGGTGGTAGGAAAGGGGTGTGGAAGGATTTGGATCCGGATGGCATCTGTGTGTGCAGAGGATCTGACCCCCTGAGGTCTATCTGCTTTGGGAAGTGCCAGCTTTCCCCCTCCAGTCCACCCATCCTTCCAGGGTAGAAGTGACCGGAGGCCCTGGGAGCGGCTTCCACACGGGGCCACAGAGCAGGACTCCCCCTGCCGGCAGGAGCCAGAGCTATGGAGAAGCCCCGTAATAGCATTACTCTCGGCCTTTCTCCTTCCTGTTGCTCATTTATTTGCCTTTAAGCACAGTTATTTTATTTTCAGAGTAATAATTTGGAGTTAATTGGTCTTCTACCTTAAACTACCACCTTTCCCGTGTAATGATTGTGAAGTAGTTCCTAAAGCCTTCCTAACGTGGCGCTTCCCTGAACGCACTCCAGAGTGGAATGGGACCTAACTAGCCATGTGAAATTGTTCTGTTTTACTGAGCTACTCCTGGGAAGAGTAGTTGTCACACAGCCTCCACTTGCTCTCACTTGGACTGGAATGATAAGGGGAGAACGTGGGGGCCTTCCCCATGAGTAACCCACCAGAGCCCCCCAACACTGCCTTTTCTCTCTCTTCTCTCTCCAGGTCACGCAATATTTAAACTCACGTATCTAAGCAATCACGACTATAAACACCTCTACTTTGAATCTGACGCTGCTACCGTCAATGAAATCGTGCTCAAGGTGAGTGCTCCTTCTGGGCCCAGGTATAGGGGTGCAGAGCTGGCCGCAGCCCCCGCGTCTCCTGGCACTGGACAAGGTCCCGGGCCGGGTTTGCAGAGGCGGAACTTGCAAAATGTTTGTAGAAATATTGCATGCTGCCTCGCGGTCACTTGGCTGTGAGCACCTGTGCCCTGAGCCCCCTGCAGGTCAGCGGCTCTGCAGCCATTTCAGCCAAGCAGGCCTGCCCCCACCCTCCTCCCAGCCCATTAGTAATTCTGGTTCTTCTGTATTTATTTATCCTTTTCTGCACCATTTATTTCCTTCCATCCTTTGTCAGGAGCTCCTTGAGGCTCCTGGAACAGACTCTGAGGAAATTATTGTTATCATTTGAAGATACATGAGGTAATATACTCAAGATAATTTTAGCAGCCTGTTCTAATATGCCCCACTTTATGGTAGAATTGTGTGTTACCATATCTCCGCAGTGCTCACTGAGCACCTCTGGGTGCCAGGCTGGTCCTGCAGCCACAGACCCAGCCCCTCCCCTCAGAGAGCTTTTTCCCTGGCAGAGGAGACAGACAGTGAACATGAAAATTAGAAAGAGATTGTTAAACGGTCACCAAGGCGCCATGCGGGTGTGTAAAGGGTAAAATGATTTGGTGTGGGGAGGCAGGGAGAGCTGAACCCTGAAAGATGGATGAAAAAGCACAGATTTTACCAGAGGAGAGAGAAAAGGCATTTCAGACAGGGAGCAGCCTGTGAAGGGGCAGAGAGACAGGGCAAGCACAGTGGGGCCACACGGCTGCCCGCAGGCCCGAGTGGCTGGAGCAGAGTGAGGCTGGAGGGGCCAGGCCCCACAGACCCTCGCAGAGTGGAGCTGGGCCTTGGAGAGCTCCCCTGGGGTCTTGTTGGTTCGGGAGGTCTGGGGTAGGGCCTAGATGGTGCATTTCTAAGAAGCTCCCGGGTGCTGCCCAGGCTGCTGGTCTGTGCACCACACTCCAGTAGCCCTGGACTCATGGTTTTCAGACTTCCAAATGGAGAATCCTTTCTTCAAGCCAAATCTTATGTAGACTGATGAGATAGGAAAACAGCTACTTTGGCAGACCTGGGCTTAGAGCCAGAGGGGCACTCCCCACCCCTAGTTGTGTGACTCTGGCTCGTCACATCAGCTCTCGGGGCCTCAGTTTCTCTGCCTGTAAAGTGGGATCATGGTAGCAACACTGCCCCACCCCAGCAGAGGGCTGTTAGAGCACAAATCAAGTGAGAGATGGTAAACCTGCTAGATTATTATTCGTGCTCTTCTTCAGAGTAGAAGGCATCAAGTAATAATAATAAAAGTAGCTGAGCTGCACTTTGGGATTGCAGAGCGCACGACCTTGGCTAGGCCCTTTGCACCCATTTCATTGAATCTTCACAACTCTCTGAGGTAGTGACGTAAAATTGTTCCCATTTCCTAGATGAGGACTGAGACTCAGAAAAAAAGTAACTTATCTAGGACCATGACTGGCAGAACTAGACCTTGACCCCAGATTCCAGAACCCATGCTCCTAACCCTTCAGATGTGTGTAGCCTTAAGGAGTTGAATGGGAGGTTTCAGCAAAATGGAAGTGTTTTACAGAAATATTTTGAGGCAAATTCGTCATGGCTGCAAAGATTTTCAAAAGTAGTAGGTGAGAATGAAAGGATAAAGCTTCTGGGAGACAGTTTGGAGCCGAGGCAGGGTAGCCTGGTCAGTTGGGTGGAAGGGAGATCAGAGTCCCTGTGGCCCAGGCAGTGGGGACAGAGTGCCTGCCTGGAGTGCTTGAAACCAGCAAGCTGAGAGTTACTTGTCAGGTTGTCACGAGACAGCGCGCGGAACCTGTGCAGAGGTTTGGGACTAGGTAAAGAAATATTCCATTCCCCCGTCAGGGGCTGGGCTTTTTTTTATAGCCAGCATTAAAATATTCAAGACTTGAGAAGGATTCTAGTAAAATTATAATCCTGTGTTTGACATCAAAATAATTTTCACAACAGCAGATTGATGACAGAAACACAGGTTTATGACTTCAGTATGAGACTGTGGAAGAGCAAGTGCAGAGAAATCATTTTACAAGACCAAATGCTCCCTCGAAGCAGGTGCTTTTCTGCAAAATCCCTCAGGCCTTTCACCTCCCCTAAAATGTCTGTTTTCATATCAAAATGTTTGTAGAAATATTGCATGCTGTGCAAGACTCCAGGAGAGTCACACTGTACCCAGGACTGATTTACTTAGAGAGCTAATGACCATGATCCTGATGGAAGATTAAATTTCACTTCTCCTATCTCTGATTTTTATAGCAGTTTAAACACTTAGCCTTGTCTGCCGTTCCCACTGTGTCTTTGTGAGCTTTGCACCAACACCCAGTGGTGGTGGCCCCGGCCCTGTGTCCGGGAACTTGGCAGAAATGTTTCCTTTGGAGCCTCCTCAGGGGTCAGAGTTAGACTCAAGTAATCACGTGGTGGTGCTGGAATTCAGGAGTTGTGTGTAAAATGAAAGCTTTGGACTGAAACGGAAGGGAGGAAACAAGGGCCACAAAGTCAAAGAAACTATGAGGAACAGGCAACGCTCCATCAAGTTATTTCATCTCAGCGTCTTTCCCCCACGTGGAAATAGTAATGGCTCCCGTTTATTGAGCACCGACTGCATGCAGGCCACTTTATGTACATTATCTCTCATCTGGTCTTCACCACTGCCCTGCAGAGTGTAGACATTATTATCCCCATTTTGTAGATGAAGAGATCGAGGCCCAAGGCCACAGAGCGCGTGAGGGCAGAGCCTCAACTGGAACCGAGCCCTGAGGAATTCCAGACCTACCCCTCCCACCCCAGAAGTCATTGAGCTAAGCCGTGTGTGGTCCCTAATTCTGCAGGCTCTGCGATGACTCTCGGAGGAATCATTGGTCTCTTCAATCGAGTTCTTCTCGTGATCGAGTGATGGAGGCTGTAGCTTTATTGACCATGAAAACTCCCTATATTTTTATGCCTTAAGCTGTAAAATGCATTGAAAGTGAAACCTCTATAGTGCATAAAATTGTGCAAGTTTTAAGCCATAGCATATTAACCAGCTAATGGCAGACCAAAGGGCGTTTTTACCTTTTGATTATTACGTTAATCTTCCATTAAAATTATCTATGTGATTATCACAAAGGACTGAAGATAATAAATTTAGGGAATAGTTGGCTTGTTAAGGATCATTTTAAAATGCTTTTGTCAAGTTATATGTGCCAAAAATATACTGAAAACACTGGGTTGGCTGAGTGTGCAAACACTGTAATCCAGAGATCGCTCTTGCTAAGAACAGTGAGACCGCCTATTTCCCTGCAGTGTCTGTGCTGTCCCAAATCGTCAGTGGCCCACGGTCTCATGATTTATTGCTCTCAGCTGGTCACTTGGCGAGGCAGTGGGCCGAGCATGTCAGGCCTTCTGTCCTCACACACCATCCTCTCACGCCTGCTGCCGGTGACCATCAGAGCAGAAAGTTCGGAGGGACACGGCGTTGGGGCCTCGGCACCCTGGCAGGCGCTGTCCCGGCTGCCACCCCGTGCCTCGGGCTCTTTCTCAGTTAGCAGAGGCCTCCCCACTCCTCCGGGCGCAGCACATGGCCCACAGAGTAGAATCGGCAGAGGTGGTGGCTGGTTTCACTCGCCAAAAATGCTGGGGTTTCTAGTCATAACTTTTAGATATTTGAGAGTAAAGAGAGATGGTGTTTGTTCACAAAAAGCCCAGGCAGAGGGTGGCTGGGGGTGGGGGAGGGGTGGTGTCTCAGGAGGTGAGGAGCTGGGTGCTTCTGAGGAGGCCGGGGGCCTGGAGAGCTGGAAGGTGTGTTACCCAAGGCCCTGGCCCAGACACTTAGTAGCTTTGTGACCTTGAGTAAACGACATTACCATTCTGGTCCTCGGTTTTCTCGTCTGTGCAGTGGGGATGATAGTGGCACCCATCTCATGAGGCTCTCGTGAAGGTTTAGTGGGTTCATCCTTGGAGAGCACGTCAGCGCTGCTGCTGCTGCCTGGGCTCGTCCTTGGGCCCCCCAGCCTCCCCTCGACTGGACACCCCTTCGCTGTGGTCTGCTGCCATGCCTCAGTGCCTGCTGCTTCTCCCCTGCCCCTTGTACACCCCAAACTCCTACTAACTCTCAAACTCAGCATGTTCAGGCCCTCCACTGGCCTCCCTGCCCCACACCACCCTGATAGTTACCCGTTCCTTTGTGCGTCTGCTGTATCCATTGTCACACTTGTCACACTGTTGGACACTCACTAGGCTGTGAGCTTCTCAGCACAGGAACCAAGTCTTACTTTTTCCTTGTCCCTTGAACCAAGCAGGGGGCCAGGCTCAGACATGGCAGGTGCTCAGTAAAAGGTACTGGTGACAATGACTATACATGCAGCTGCCACCCAGCACGTGGCAGGTCCACACATGGGGATGTGACAAGACCCCAAGAGACTTACGTGGGAGCAGCGGCATGCAGGGCGAGCTCCTCGTCTGTGTGGTGACCTGCAAGGCAGCCAGGCTGCATACTTCCCACGGGGCTGTCATGGCTCCTCTCCCAGCTTTGACCCTGACCTCTGGGTGATCCTGGTCAGCTCGGCCCTCTTCCCTAGGCCTCATTTTTTATCACGTGAGCCTGGCAGGTAGGGTGCTTGTAAGCGGTAAGTGAAAGACCATAGTTGGCAGCTCTGGGCCTGCTGGTGGCAGGCTGAATCTAGAGCCTCGTTTTGGCTTGTTTTTCATCCTTGTGATGTTCTCGTCTTTCAGATGAGAACGTGGGGCTGAGGGAAGTTATGTGTGAGCCCGAGGCTCAGCAGGTGAGGAGCAGAACCAGGAATCCCGGTGCACAGCCTCCTGGGAGGCAGCATGCGCTGAGGAGGGAAGGCAGGCTCTGGAATCAAAAAAGCCCCACCACTGATGACTCCGAGACCCAGACGGGCTGCTTGTCTTCTCTAGGCCTCTATCTTCTGTCGTAAAGTGGGCTTCGGTCCCCGCCGGCCAGGTCACCGTGATGACTCGACTTCGTGTAAGGAGGGCACTGGCCCTGCGGGCCCCCAGCTGCAGGCTGGCCCTTCCTTCCCTTGCCCGGGCAGGCAGAGTGGCTGGGAGTGACTGGGCTGTGTCCTCTTGCTCCCTAGGTTAACTACATCCTGGAATCCCGAGCAAGCACTGCCCGCGCGGACTATTTTGCTCAAAAACAAAGAAAACTGAATAGACGTACAAGCTTCAGCTTCCAGAAGGAGAAGAAGTCCGGGCAGCAATGACACTGGCCTCCAGCCTCAATCTGTTGCCGTAGCTCAGAGCCTGCCTGCCAGGGCCAGGTGGCCCTCGAGCCCACCCTGTGCCCTGCAGTCCTCCAGGGGAGGCCAGCCCCGGCTCACAGCACAGGGCTGGTGGGCTCTTGGGGAAGGGGAGCACCCCTAGAACGGAGCTGGGGACATTTCCACGGGACCGGAGCCTGGGCGGCAGTGGCTTAGATTAGCAGTGCCCGGGGGGCCAGATGACAGCAGAGGAGCCCGTGCTGCCCCGCCCTCTTCACTGCCTGAGGATGTACATAGCCGTGCCAGCCGTCTCCCTGCTACTTGATCAAATTTCTTAAAACAAATGAAGAACAAAAATGTACATTTCTTTTTTTCCTTTTAATAAACAGGTGTACTCTTTATCATGGTTGGTATGATGGACCATTCTTTGGGGCAGAGGATTGATTATGTTATTCTCTTTAAAATCTGTTCCCATATTGAACAGGCAGATTGGAAAAGCTATGGCTCGATTTCTCAGAAGAAATGTTTAGGGCTTAGTCAATAGTCTTAACTATACCATTTGTTTAAATGAGTGCATTGCTTTGAGGATAGTATCCTACTAAAGTTAGGAAGGGGCACCTAATGATGTGTGTCTGAGGCTGCCATCTTCCCCTTCAGGAGCCTTCTCTCCTGGGCACATCCCAGTGCCTCTGATTTCAGAGACGCAGGACTGTGCGAAGGCGTGGGCGCTGGGAGGCTGGGGCGGCGGCTGGTCTTCCAGTCACACTGAGCTCGGGGCTGGAAGGGGGCTTTTCCATTTCTTAAATAGCCAGTGTGTGTCTCAGCTAGCAAGTAGACCTGCATGTGGATTTTCCCTGGAGTCGGAAGAGTCTCGGCTCCCTTCTTCCTCTCCTCGCAGTGCCTGCCGCTCTTCACTGTATCAGGGAGCACAGTGAGCAGAGACAGGGGCGGGGGCACAGGGAGCCTGCGCCACGGGGTCCCCTTCCTGCGAGGGAGGGCAAGGGATCAGGCGTCCCCTGACACCACACCTCTGGCTACACCAGATGCCTCTGCGGTCCTCGCCAGCCCCTCCAGTGTCCCTGCCAGGGTGACGTCCTTTCACGCTGTCCCTGGCCAGGGTCGAGGACCGGGTGTCTCACTGAGGACCTGCATTTCAAACAGTTTTTTAAATTGTCGTACAGGAAGAGATGTGAGGAAAACAGCATCTCAGAGCCGAGTGGGTTTCTTTGCACAGGGGTCATTTTAATGAACTCCTCTCATTCTGATCCTTGTTCAGCCAACAGAAGCATCCTTTTCTAATGTCTTCCATTCCTACCCACCCCAGAAACAAAAGAAATATTATTTGTAGCTTGCTATCTGTATTTGAATTTTTAGCAATTTTATATTTAGATATCTTTGAAAAATGTAAATGACTAATTTGGTCATTAAATCTTGTGACATATTCAATATTAAAATAAAAGTCATATAAATACTTTGGTTTGCATATTGCTTTGAATTCTTGAAGTCTTGAATCCATTATCCTGAAGACATTGACTCTAGGTGAATCACTCTGGGTGGTGACAGTTGCTGGCAGTTGACATGGTACCAAATGTCTCTAAAATGCACCGTGGGCCTCCCTAAATGCTGAGCAAGACAGGATGAGCCTCTGCACTCAAGGGTGACATTGAAACCATCACCTCCTCCACTCACAAAATCAGCACCGTTCTCATGTTGTGGAATAGAGCACACGTGGTTTATGTAAAACCCGTGTCCACTGGAAGGAGTAATTTACGGAGAACACTGTGACCACCGCCCAGGTCAATCAAAGATCCAGACGATTTAAATCAGGTTTTCTCAGCCCCTTTCACACCGTGCTTGTGGATTTTAAGATAAGACCGTGAGCTCCTCAGGGACAGGCTTGACCTAGTGGGAGCTCAGCGCCCCCAGGTAAACCGAAGCGCCCCTGCGGCCGCCCTGCCGGTGCAGCAGCATCTCCTGCCCTGGCTCCAGGGGCCCCACCCGGCGGGTACCAGCTCACGACTGGGACTTCGCCAAGTGTGGGTGGCCTGACAGCCTGGGTGCTGGGCCCTGGAGCCTGCTGGGTGCCAGGCAGGCTGTGCGTGGCCCTTTATAAATGCGCATGAGCCCGTGTCACTCCCGCAGCGCCTCTGGCAGGTCCTGTCGTCACCTCTGTTCCAGACCTGAGGACTCAGGCTGGGAAGGGTCTCTCTCACCTTTTGTCCAGGACACCGTGACTGACACCGCAGCTCGCTCCTACCCCCTGGGCTCTGCCCGCCTCAGCCAGCGGCCTTGTGGCCCTGTGCCAAGCACTGCCTCCTTGGGGCCCCAGTTTCCTCATCTGTAAATGAAGGTGCTGGATTAGGTGACCTCTGCAGACCTTTCTAGAAAATGTCTTAAATGTCTCAGAATCACAGTCTGCCTTCCAATGGTTTCTTTTTGCCAAAACTTGCAGCAGCTTCTCTGCTTCTGAATGAGAATTCTGGGAGTAGAGAAACACTGTGAGGTCATTTACTCCACCCTCCTGTCTTGGGGCAGTAAGTCCAAGTTCCTTCCCAGAGTCTTTGAGCCTCTGCTTACATACCTCTAGCAACGGGGCACTCACTACCGTTCAGGTCAGTGCTTTTCCTTGTTGACCAACTTGGTCACCCTTGGCTGACCTTCAGTAACAGCCTGCCAAAACTTTCTCAACACTGTGCCACTGGCCTCTGCATGTTGGACCCCTCTTCCCACTCTGAGCAGCAGCTGCCTCCTAACACTCTTCCTACCTGGGCCCGTAGGCCCAGTGTCACTGCTGCCCTGGAAGGCCCATCAGCTGTTGGGAGACCACACTGACATTCCTCTGAGTCTTCTCCTCTTGGGTTAAAAAGCTGGAAGGTGATCCCCACCCTTGTCACCTCCCTGAAACCCTGCCAGCTGCTGCTTTGGGTTCCCTCTCCGCAGGGCAGGGACTGCAAAGCAGCGGGGCAGAGAGGGCAGCGAGACCCCACAACGCCGAGATGCTTACAGTCTGGTGAGGCAGGAGGGGGGCAGGTGACCCCCAGGCCACACCACAGGGAATGCCATGGAGGCGCTGTGGGGACAAACATGGACCTGGAAGGCGCCAGGCAGAGGAGCCGGGAGGCCGGGGAGAGCAGCCGGGGCAGACGCTGGAGGCCAGAGGTGTGGCGCCACAGCCCTGCAAGGCCGGGGCCCTCATCAGCCCCGTTGGAGCGGGACACTTGCAGCTTCCTGTACCCTGCACAGTGTGACCTTCCCCTCTTGGAGCTCGAGGACACCTGTGATGAGGTGACACATGGAGCCGAGGACGAGGACAGAGGATGGGGCGGGTTGGGGCTGCGGCCCCCCTCCACACTCACCCCAGGAGGGAGCCGCCGTGGTTTCTCCGCGCCCCAGGCACAGCATCGGCAGCTTTTGTTTCCCAGTGGGGTGAGCCTGGAGGCCGCAGTGTGGGCTGAAGAGGGAGTCCCGAGGCTGGAGG